GATTTTTTTTTTTTTTAAACCAGCTCTTTGCAAGGAAAGCAAAGGCTGCTACTAAACAGATTGAAAAAGCAAATACAAACAAAACAAAAACAAGGGGACAGGGGAAATGGGGTGATGTTCAATGGATATAGAATTTCAGTTCTGTAAAATGAAAAAGTTCTAGAGATCTGTTGCACAACAACGTGAATATACTTAAGACTACTTAATTGAACGTTTAAAAATGGTTAAGATGGTAAATATTATGTGTTTTTTTAACCACAATTAAAAAAAATCTGAAACAATGAGTATCGAGCAAAATAGAATGGGAAGCTTTGAAAGGTATTAATAGCAATATTCACAAAGAGCATAGTGAATAGATACAACTCAGGACAAATGTGAATCTCAAACAAAGCCTCAAAATATATAAAGCCAAAACCACTGCAATAAATGGACAGACCCACAAATTTAGTGGAGATTTTAGTATCTCTCTCTCAGAAACTTAAAGTGGATATACGAACAGCCAATGAATGTGTGAAAAGGTGCTCAATCACATTAGTCATTAGGAACTTGCAAATGAAAACCAAATTGCAATCCCTCTAGATAGCCACCAGAATGGCTGGGGAGCTACAAACTTCCAGTATGAAATAAATAAGTCACAGTGATTCAATACGTTGTATACCTGAAACTAATATAACATTGTAGGCCAATTATACTTCAATAATAAAAAAAAAAGGTAGAGCTAAAATATTTGTCAACAGTTGTGTGGAGGATGAGAAAGGACAGTTCAAAATTAAATCATCTATTATCTTTTTGTTCTGGAGGAGGCAACACCACCAAGTGTTGACAAAGACATGGAGAAATTAGAACCCTGACTCAAACAAGCCAAATGTCACAACTTGGGAAATCTGACCAGTATCTGGATAGTCAATGGTATTAGGGAATAATTATTTATTTGTTAATCTGTGGTGACATTGTGGTCACATGGCTAAAAGATATATATATATATATATATATATATATATATATATATATATATATATATATATATATATATATCTCACCATCTTTATATCTATCACCATCTTTTAGCCATGTGACCACATTTATATATATACATATACATATACACACACACACACACATACACACATACATACATACACATAACACAGAGAACAGAAAATTGTGTCTGGGAACTTCATAATTATCCAGGGAGAGGAGGGGAGGGGAGGGTAACATGAAATAAGACTGGTCGTGGGGGAATTGTTGAAGCTGGATCATGAGTACACAAGTGTTGGCTCTAATATTTTTTATACTTTTGAATGTATTTGAAACTTTTGTAATAGAAAGATATGTGTGTGTATAAGTAGGAATAAATCCAAAAAAAAGGTGTGTATGGTTTTTACAGCAAAAATTTTTCAACTTTATTAAAAGGTATATATTTTTAAAGGCCCTAGGAGACTAACAAAACAGACCTGAACAGAGAAATAACCTACCTTCCTGGACAGAATGGTTCAATATTAAAAGATCTCAATATCAATTCAATGCAGTTCTAACCAAAATCTCAAAATAAATTTTTGTGGAACTCATGGAACTTCAAAACGGATCCTCAATTCATATGGAAGAGCAAAAGCCCAAGAATAGCGAAAACAATTTTGAGAACTAGGATGGAGACTTGCCTTTCTTGTTACCAACTGCCGCAAGACACATTATAAAACCAAGGTAATTAAAACAGTGTGATATGGCATAAAGACACATGGATCAGCGGAATAAAATAGAGAATCCAGAAACAGATCCGTGTATTTATGAGAACTTTGTACAGGACAGAGTCGGCTTGGCTTCAGCAGGTAAAGGATTTCATAGATGGTGTTGGGACAAATGATTATCCAATCAGAAAAGAGTAATACTCGACCTCTACTTTATATCCTATACGAGCCAATTTTAAATGGAAAGTAATTCATAATAAAGCAGCATATGTTTAAATATACAAATGTTCAGGCTGACTACACTAGAATACATAATGAAGTACAGCAGTCAGATGCTTGCACCTAAACTTAGAATCGCCACGAACGCAAAAGCTACAAACGCAGGCTCATGCAGGTGTGTTGTATGGCAACTCAAATACCACGAGCTGGGCTGCCTTCGGTTATGCGATCTTCTCAAGTGATGAACAACTCTTGTTAAAGTTCCAAAACACAAGTAAGTATAATTTCCCCTTGATTTACATTTGAGTTGCATTCCTGGAAATTTTACTATAGCAAGCTGTGCCAAAAAA